ATTTAATTAGTGATTTGGCAATCCGTAGTTGGCAGAAGAAGAAGTTGAAGCCCAAAGCCCTCCCAACTCTATTTTCTTTTAATATTATTATTTTTAGGAAAAATTGCAGCCGAGGTACCAAACCTTTCAGTTATTTGCTGACTTTGTCCAAACTTTTAATTTGTACCACCCATAGTACCAAACCTTTAAAAAAATCGCACCTTTAGTCCAAAATGACGGATTTCGTTAGTTTGATATTAAAAACTGTCAGTTGACCCCAGAAATTAAAAATTTAATAATTCTTCCCAAATAAGTTAAGGATATTTTGGACATAATATATTTCTCATATTAAATCAAAAATAAAAAAACCAAAATCACAACCCATCCCCATTTCCTTCCCTAACCCCCTTACCACCCAAAATCAAAACTACTCCAATCAGTTGTCGGACGCCACGCCATCACCATTGCTGACAGTAACACCGATACCACCTAAATTTATAGTTTAGGCGACATCTACCAAATCTTCATCTCCAATCCACCTAATGGTCGCCCTCTTCAACTGGAACGCTAGTAGCGGCCTAAAATTGGAAGTGCATTTTTTGATGAAATTGGTTGGTAGCATCGGCACTGTAGAGGATTTAGATGATTCAAAATTCAACGGTGGTGGTGCCATGTGGTGGGTCCCGCTCGAAGAGGACAAATTGTGGATATTGGAATTTACACCTATTGCAAGTTTAGAGCTCAAATTCAATGGAATTTCTTCAACAATTGGATCAATTGGCTCCCTACCCATTGCCAACTGGCCTTGAATTACATTTTGGCTGGTCGAATTTAAGGTCGTGGGACCCTTCAATTGAAATAGAGAAGCAGCTGTGCATTATTTTGGTCGGTCCTCAATTCCCAAGGAGCATTTACTGCATTGTTTTGGCAAAAAATTGTTTTATGAAGTCGGTCGCCGTGTGTAGGGGGATAAGTGGGTGGTGTTGGCAACCATCAAATTGGCCGGAGGTGGTGCATTTTAGAAGTAGGCCTTATGCAACCCTTGATGAATTTTCATTGATTACTTCCTCAATTGGTAATGTTTATGTGAATGGTTTGTTGAAGTGTGTTGAGGGGGTAAAACTGCCGGTATGAGGTGTAATTTTCGGTGGCTTAGGCGGCAGGTTGAGGGTGGTGAGAGTGTTGGGGAAGAAAGGAGATAGGGGTGGGTTGTGATTTTGGTTTTTTTTTTTTAATTTAATATGAGAAATCTATTATGTCCAAAATATCCTTAGCTTATTTGGGAAGAATTATTAATTTTTTAAATTCTGGGGTCGATTGACAGTTTTTAATGTCAAACTAACGGAATCCTTCAATTTGGACTAAAGATGAGATTCTTTTAAAGGTTTGGTACCATGAATGGTACAAATTAAAGGTTTGGGCAAAGTCCGCAAATAATTAAAATGTTTGGTACCTCAGCTGCAATTTTCCCTTATTTTTATTTGATTTCAACCTAAAATCAAAATAAGTGAGATGACCTATTAATCTTTTCTTGAGTCTTGTATTTGATTTAAAATCATGTATTGGCTTTCTGATTCTTATTAAATTCATTTGCAGGCACAACTCTAAAGCTACTAAGGCTTGGAGTTAATTGGATGCTACCCCTGAGGTGAACTTAATTGGATGTTGTGCTAAGGTTAGACACAAATTGTGGATTTAAAATCATGTATCACTTCTCAGTTATCAATTTTGTCAATTACAGTTTGCAGACTTATAATCGTGATGCCCACAACCTAATCCTCCAAAAATTACAAATTTATATCACTACCATGTAAATTAGTTCTACTATGTCATCGACTTACAACTTTAGGAATTGAACGATGTTTCTTGGAGGTAAATACAAAGTTACTCATTTATGTAGCTTGTTTACGTCCAGGAGTTTCATTTTCTTCTTTTGACAAGAAAAACTTGATTCAACTTGCTGAGCTTTATCCAGTAGATTTTTTTGTAGTACATTTTATCATACTTAATATTCAACTTGAGACTTATATTTTTGACATGCATTCTAACAAAGAGTTTGAAGGGTTGAACGACATTAGTAATCTTGAAGAGAAATTAGTTATGACAAAAAAAAAAAAGGTATATCCATTGCTTTACAAGTTTTTGACTTTAGCATTAATTCTACTGATTATTATCATTACTGTGGAAAGAGTATTTTCTGCAATGAGTATTATAAATGATTGATTGCGTAATCAGATGTGTGATCAGTGGATGAATGATAGCTCAATTGTTTATGTAGAGAAAAATATATATTTTAAGACTGATATCAAGGTATGAAAACTTGCAAGGAACAAATATAATTTATAAACTATGTCATTTTTTAATGATAGCTCAATTGTTTATGTAGAGAAAAATATATATTTTAAGACTGATATCAAGGTATGAAAACTTGCAAGGAACAAATGTAATTTATAAACTATGTCATTTTTGGTATTGTCATAATATTGTTTTATATTTTTATCATTATTAAATCCATAACCAAAAACTCAAAATTCGGCATCGATTAAATTGTGCCCACACTGTCCGAACTCCAAACCCTCGGACCACTCGGACTATGGACCAGCCAACCCCAGACCATCCGTACCCCTCAAACCTCGTTAACATATAACAGATTTGTTGTGATTTCTTCACAAATTTGAATTTTTTCAACATAACAAACTAATTTTTCTTAAAAATATCTTTGAATATTAAAACATTATCCATCAATATCATAAGCAAAAAAAAAAAAGGAGAAACCTTGAATATGGAGATGGAGATAAATGAAAAAATCTTAAAGAATGGCGATGGAGATGGAGATGGAGATGTATTGAAGAACAAGAAATGGTAAGATTTACAAATTCTCAACGTTCAAAATGGAAGTAAAATATGCATTGTCATTTCTTTAAATTTTTTTACTTAAATTTGATCAAATGCCATTGTGGAAAAGTGGCTAGGTCAACCGACTATCTACCACCATTTCCTCAATTTGCTATTTGGCAAACCCGAAGAATTTGTCTAAAATAATGATTTAAAGACCCCACAATGAGGGAGCGTCTTTCCTTTCTTAGTATGACATGGACGAATTATTGATAAAATACTTAGCCAAATTTCCACATATTATGGCACTGAGGTTCCACTCAGTCAGTCCACGAATTTGCACAATGCACACGAAGAGATATAAAGACAACAATGTAAAAGAACATAGAATTTATCGGTAAACACCTAACTTGTTTATTACTCCACAATAATACAAGAACACAAAGGAACACTGAAGGAACACCAC